CTACTAGCCATCATCGAGTGGCCGGTGCGACACAGTAATTATAATAATTACTCCAAACGATACAACTAGGAATTAAACTATGTATTGCATTTGTTTTTTTTTCTACTGCGGCTCTGGTCGGCGAATCAAAATAAATCTTAGTCAATCATTACGTACGCTGTGAACCGGTAAATTGATCCGTAGAAAATTAATCGTACCTTCTGTCTAATGTGTGAACAGTATTATTGTATTTTTTCTTCAGAGTTCTTTTATTTTTTTAATTTTCCAGAGTAAAGTTACATTAATTGCGCCGGTGTGAACTGTGTCCCCCGAGGACGTCGAAATCTGTATTAGTATGCTCAGACATCATAAAATAGGCTTGTCGCACGACTTGCATCGTACAAAGGTCGAACACAAATAATAATATACTACACCGGTAAGCTATCGCAGAAACAGTTTTAATATTCGGTTGGCCGTACACGCCGAGCTTAAGATCAAACCCTTATGTTCTAGTGTATGTAAAACATTGAGACTGAACGATATTATTGCATCAAGGTTTGCTTAATTGGTATAATTAAAAAAGAAATGTCTTCGCTCGTGTTACCATAATAATATATTATTCCTGTCATTCGTGTGTGCGTCGCTATACATTAGGTGTAAAGAAACACGCATCATTATTATAATAGCCATAAAAAAATTCAAATTTCAATTGTAATTATTATTGCTGAATTGTATTCGAATAGGAGTGTTTTACAATGATCGATGTGTTAGTAGACCATTACTCGTTCCCAAACCTTTACTTGATCGGTTCCATCATTAACCGAATGAATATCCGCTTGGAATATATTAAGTTTCTACGGCTAAGGTTAGGTAGGCAGATCATTCGGTATTATTGCTCCCTTTGATTGATCTTAGCCGTACTGTAGTTGCCTGTACGAAACGAAATCATGTAAACATACGCACACCCTTTGAAAGGAGTGTTCATTTCTGCCGGCCTTCTTCCTTTTTGCTGTAGTGGTTGTGCGACTACAGAAAACAATGTGACAAGTTGTGCACGTATACCTATGGCAACCGTATACGACATCTATTTAACCGGTCAATGACACTCGAGAAGAATGTTTATGGAAAACCCTATGTGGAATTGAAACTTTGTAATCGGCAACTGCTACCCGTATTCCATCGGCATTGCTTATAAAATCTTCTGGGTAATTTATTGTAGTAAATATGTCTTTTTAGCTAGAAAAATGTGTAAAAAAATTTTTTTCGAAGCTTATCCACTTTTGCAACAATTTCAAACGACTTAATGATATTTCTATGACATCCTTTAAGTAAAAGCTATTTAAATATAAAGTTGTTCTTTTAACTCAGTTTTTAGTGTGTTATAGCTAAAAAACGTAATTAAGCTATAATGTTATTGACATACAACGTAAAATTATGTAATATTTAAAATTTTTGAATATATTTTGAATCACATTCATCAACGAGTTAACATCGTTCGGTTCAAAAAAAAGTTTTAGTAAAAGGAATTTGTAATTATTGTACGATAGTTACAAATTTATGAAAGAAAAATAACAAAAACTTTGTAAAACCTAAATATTTTCTTAATAAGTTATTTAGTTCAAAATATTAGCTAACTTTTATAAATTAAATATTCATGTTATTAAAACTTGATGGAGTTGTAAAATTAAATTTAAATAAGATAAATTTTATTAAATAATTTTCAATGAATAAATCCAATATTAAACATATAAAAAAGTTGGTAATCATTAAGTTTGAAAATAAATATGTCAAATGGATAAAAACTATCATATATATCGTGAATGATTTTTCTTTAACTCTGGAATATTTTGTCATAATTTAAACAAAAAATTGTATTACTCATTACAGATTTGCTCAAATTATGTAGAATCGTCTACCACAGTGTTTTTCAGAGTTTTTTTTTTTTTTTTTTTTTTTNAGTGTTTTTCAGAGTTTTTTTTTTTTTTTTGTAATTGCAATCAGAGCTACAAAAACACCTTAAATGTAAAAAGATTAATACAAAAGAATAACTTGTGATGCGAAAAAAAGTATACATTAGTGGTGTGAAGTCAAGAGTTTTTTTTCTTCTCTAGTAGCTCTTCAAATTGCAACCAAAGTTTGTATTCAATTGTTAAGTACACAGTGCACGGCACTTCACTCCCGTTTTTTATTGATTGGATTTGTGTTTTCTTTTCTTTTTACTTTATCAATTTAATCAACAAACAGTGGATAAAACGTGTTACAACTTGAAAAATAACAAACAAGTATGTAGTTGCTTAGACATAAAAATTTGCAATTTAAATATAATATAGTTCACTCCCCCGTGACATTACTGACAGTATTCATGTTTTTATCAGAACTGTTTTTTCAATAATTTCTCAAGTTTGAAATGAACTCCACTACCGTGTCAAACATTTTATCAACAATTTTTATTGAGTTTTGAGAGTAAAATTTAGCAATGAGAGTCAAAATATTTAAAAAATTTTTTGATTAAACAAATAATTACTTTATAATAAATAACTCTTCAAATAAAACAACAACATGATAATTCAATTTTATTCAAACTTTTAAGATCTGTTTATTTATCCTAAATGTATCATTAATGGCGGATTCCTACAGTAATTATTTTGTGCCTCAATAAAAAAAATATATTGAAATATTTTATTTAGTGACTCATGTACTTATTTTTAAACATTACCAATGAAATAATGCATTATTATAAATTTGCTGTGCAATGAAAGTTTTGAAGCTCAACTTTTTCGATTTACAAAGAGTCCGCCATTTTTGGTCTTATATTCAGATATTTAAATGTATTGTGGTTATTATTGTTACATTACAACTGCGGTGCATATAAGTTTTAAAATTCAAGGATCTGTTTTTTTTTTTCGTAGAAAATCGCGAGTGTAAAAATTCTAAAGCTAAATTCTTTGTTTTAATTTTCATGTGCATTGCACTTGTAATATGTTAAGTGCTTTTAATAGTACTGGTTTTATCATAATATTTAAATATTATTATTATGTTGTCCGCTCGCGTTTACATTACAACGATGACTGCTGGCAACGTCTAATATCATATTAAAGTGACTGTATGAAATATACAATAATGTATGACTTTTATGGCGCTCAAGAGAGCGCATGAAATATGTATGTGTCTAGAAATGAAAAATCGGTTAGTGAAATTTAGTAATAATGACTCTCATCGTTAATAACGTGTTTTCATCTAAACCGTGAAAAATAACATGACCTAACTTCGAGTGTTTGAAAATAAACATAAAGTGATTCTAACATCCGTTCAAGTTTTCCCAATTTTAATTGAATGGAAAATTAGTTTCAATAAAGTGTATGGAAAATATTAATAGTTATTGGGAAATTGCAATCGTTTGCTCGCTTAATATTCGGGATGTTTTGTTTATGCTTTGTTGTTTACATCAAACTAACGATTCCACTCATCAAATATCAATTAATCTGATTCAAATTTGTTTATTATAACTAAACTAAGAACACACATATTTCTTAAATAGTTTAAAATTCATAAATATTACAATAAAAACTGAAATATTTTTGTTAATTATCTTTTCGGTTATTGATGATCGTTTAAATCCGATTTAATTATTCTAAATTATTATAACTCTCTATACAAACCAACGATATAATGCAATAGTGCGATAATTTTTTTATCAAGGCATAAGTTTTCCTTGATCTTCCTTATCAATCACTTTAACGTGATTGTCTTTCATTTGGTATTTCCCAAACTGCTTAGTAAATATTCTACGAACAGTAAGTATTTTTTATTTCTCTTTAACTCTAGGCTAAATAATAGGCTAAAATAAGGTCTTAACAGTATTTTTTTATATAATAAATAGAATTTTAATATAAAAATTCAAAAGAATTCCTCAAAGGGTTTCATTGACTTACTAAGTTCAGTGTTCTTTATGTAAAATATGAGTTGGTACTCATCTTTGAGAGTGGTGTTTCATTATTTTTAAAAGAAATGAATTTCTACTTCTTAAATTTTATTTTCAGATGAATAAATGTGTTTTTATAAAAAAAATGATTAGTAGGTTGAAATTAAAGGGGAAAGTTCTTGTGTTTTTTTTTTATTGTAATTGGCACGTTTTACAAGTTGATGTTATCTTATAATGCAGTTGTAATATTTAACTATATGACCTGGTGTCAATTAGTTGTTTTTTTTTTTCATTTTACTAAATGGCAAAGTATACAGAGTATATAGTTGGATCAACAAAGATAAGTATTGAACCTAATATTAGTATTCCGAATTTTTCTTTTAATTTAATTTAATTAAGTATTAATTATTCGTATATTGAATAAATAAGAGAGAGTATAGGTGTAGTGTCAATCGTGGATAAGATGAGAGAAAATAGACTTAGATGGTTTAGTCAAGTTATAAGGAGAGAAGAATCGGAAGCTTTAAGAACAGTTATAGAAATGAATGTTGAAGGAAGAAGAGGTAGAGGAAAACCAAAAAAGAGATGGAGGGAAGTTATTAAATGCGATATGAGGTCAGCTGATGTGAGTGTTGAGGGTGTGGGAGTTCGTGTCAAGTGGATGTTTAGGGTAAGGGTGGCCGACCCTAAGTAATTGGGATTAAGGCGAGGAAAAAGAAGAAGATTAATTATTCGTATATTAAAACTATGACCATTTTTTATGTAGTTATAATACTTTTACCATGATAACTTTGATTTTAGTATAATATTAAATGTATTATTTAAAAACCATGTATGGGAAAGGTTACACTAATTTTCAGAATGATTAGAAACATTTTAAAAAACTTCATTTTTAGTTATTTTATATAAATGGAATTATTTACTGTGCTATTTTGATTTTTAAAGAGCTTTGTGTGAAAACCTTTTTTAGGTGTCACTATTTTGTTTTATTTAATAATTTATTATTTTGCACTGCAACAATAATTTATTCGCTTTTCCAAAGCACAATATTCAATAGTGAGACACTTGTTTTTAATATGTTTCATACTTTTGCCTATAGAAGTTAGACAAGAAGCCGTCCAACAAGCTCTGGCCGCTATGCAGTCAAGACCTAAACCTTCCTTGCCGATGCCAAGTAAACGCACTTCGGTAATGGCTCGAAGTCCGGATCGATCAACAAGAGCTCGAAACGATACTGGTTAGTAATAATTTTTTTTAATTTAGAAATTGTCACATAAATACATTAATGATATATTTAAAAAAAATTTCCGTAGATTCGAGCTCAGATGACGATAGTGTTGGTGATCAAGCACCTGGAAAAAGTGATATTAGAGATGGTCGTGATAGCAGTGGTCGTGGAGAACGTAGTAGTGGTGCGGACACCAGTAGTACCGGTGGTTCAACTAGGGATACTCCATCACATGCTAAGTCCAGTCAATCGTCAACCGTTCAACAGCAACAAATAATACAGCAACACAGACATCACCACCATTATCATCCTACAAAGTAAGTGTTTTTCTTTCAACGTTCCTGAAAGAAATTAAAAAACTAAAGTGGCGTTTGATTTTTATAGAATTCCTAATGGTGCTCCAGGTAGTGGTATATCGAGTAATAATATACCCAATTACTGGGATGAATCTAAAACGATCATGGAGACAAAAGAACAACAAGACAAATTAAAACGTAGTAAGCCTGAAGTTGCTGAAATATCTGATGTTGTGCAAAGTGTTCGACCACCATGTAAATAAAATTATGTTTATTACAGTTACAAATTTTATGTTTTCTTTCTGTTATTCATTGAAGAATTCACTAATTTATTTTGTATTATAGATCCACAACCACCCGATGTAACGAATAATGTGACTCAGTCTAGGAGATTTACTCCAGCTGATCGAGTTAATCGATATAGTAGAGATTCTAGACAATCGTCAAGCGATGACGGTATGGGTACTGTTTCAAGTAGTGGTCGATGGAAAGTTTCGGCTAAAATACAGCAGTTATTGAATACTCTCAAAAGACCAAAACGACGTCCTTTACCAGAGTTTTACGAAGACGATGACATGGAACTGGAGATAGCTGCCAATCCAAAGGATCCTAATGCTCCACGACCAGAAGGCGCGTATATGTCCCCAGCTATAGGCGAACCTTTATCCGTAAGTTTATTGATAATTACACAAAAACCACCACTCATTGTTTTTATGTTAAAACAGGTTCCTTCTGGTCTACCACGTAACTTGGAAGCAGCTCTTCAACGTTATGGTTCGAGCACTTTTAAAGCACCAGTAGCAACAGTACTCGATCCTAATGGCAAACTTAGCATCACATTAACATATGGTAAGATTTTCATTTTTTTAATCCCTTTTGTTTTTTACTAAAATGGTTCTCTTCCTCAGGTAAACTTCTAAGCAGATCTCATAAAGTAGCATATACTCTCCTCAATCGTCCACTAGTCAAAGGCATCGGTGGTGGAGAGTGTTTAAAACATGGTGACCGTGTAGCTCTAGTCTATCCAAATAGTGACCCCCTCAATTTCTTGTGCTCTTTCTATGGATGCCTGTTTGCTGGCATCGTACCAGTGCCAATTGAAGTGCCATTAACTCGTCGTGATGCGGGTTCACAACAAATAGGGTTTTTACTTGGTAGCTGTGGTGTTCAGGTTGCTCTTACATCCGACGCATGCCTTAAGGGTATGCCCAAAACAGCTACTGGTGAAGTAGTTGCTTTTAAAGGCTGGCCAAAACTGCATTGGTTTGTTACTGAACATTTACCTAAAACTCCGAAAGACTGGTGCCCACCACCACATGTTGGAGATGATACTGCTGCATCTTACATAGAATATACTACTGACAAGGATGGTTCTGTAATGGGCGTCAGTGTCAGTCGCACGGCCATGTTAAACCAGTGTAGAGCATTGACTCAGGCATGCAACTACACCGAGGGTGATACAATGGTGTGCGTATTGGACTTCAAACGTGAGACTGGTTTATGGCACTCAGTGTTAACATCTATACTAAATGGAATGCACATTATATACATACCTTATGCTTTGATGAAAGTTAATCCAGCTTCCTGGATGCAAATGATTACTAAGTATAGAGGTAACATCACTTACCATAGACATTTTTTTTTATTATTTTAATATTTAATAATTATATTAAATTTTCAGCTAGCGTAGCTGTAGTGAAATCTAGAGACTTACACTGGGGTTTATTGGCGACTAAAGATCATAAAGATATTGTGCTGAGTTCACTGAGATTGCTTTTGGTTGGTGATGGTGCAAACCCATGGTCGCTATCTTCATGTGACCAATTTTTAGCTGTTTTTCAACCTAAAGGTTTACGTTCTGACGCCTTATGTCCATGTGCGTCCTCCAGTGAATGTTTAACTGTATCTGTTCGAAGGTATGTTATCTTAAATGATAATTTATTTTTGAAATCTGTTTTTTAATATTTAATTTTAATAAATATTTCAGACCCGGTAGAGCAGGAGTGAATGCTACTGGGCGGGGTGTGTTGTCTATGTCAGGCTTGAGTTATGGTGTAGTACGTGTTGATCAAGAGAATTCTCTAACATCGTTAACTTTACAAGATTGTGGTCAAGTAATGCCAAATTGTTCAATGATAGTGGTAAAAATGGATGGTATTCCATATATGTGCAAAACAGATGAAGTAGGAGAAATTTGCATGGGTGGTCTAGGTACAACTACATGTAACTATTGGGGGCTACCTGGATTGTCTAATGCTACATTCCGAGTAACACCTATCGGTGAAGATGGAAAACCTATGGATGATACTATCGAGTATACAAGATCAGGACTATTGGGATTCCTAGGACCTGGAGGCCTTGTCTTTGTATGTGGTTCTCGGGATGGACTGATGACTGTGACTGGACGAAAACACAATGCTGATGACATTATTGCTACTGTACTGGCTGTGGAGCCAATGAAGTTTATTTACAGAGGAAGAATAGCAGTATTTGCCATACGAGTACTAAGAGATGAGCGAATATGTGTCATAGCTGAACAACGACCTGAATGTAGTGAAGAAGAGAGCTTCCAATGGATGTCCAGGGTACTACAAGCTGTTGATTCCATTCATCAAGTTGGCCTTTATTGTTTAGCTCTAGTACCGCCGAATTATTTACCCAAAACTCCTTTGGGTGGCATACATTTGTCTGAATGCAAAAGAAGATTTTTGGATGGCAACTTGCATCCAGCAAATGTATTAATGTGTCCTCATACATGCGTCACAAATCTACCAAAACCTCGTGAAGTACATTCAGGTATCTATATTTTACATTGTTATTTTTTGACCCTTAAGGGTCGCATATATTTTAAAAGTTTATCATTTAATTTTGCCTAGTTGGCGGTACTGTTTCAGAAGTGGGACCTGCTTCAGTAATGGTTGGTACAATAGTTCAAGGAAACAGGCTAGCAACTGCACAAGGACGTGATATAGGAATCATTGATATGGAATCTGATTCCAATAAAACTGTAAAAACTATTTTTTTTATTTAAATTAGAATTAACAAGTAATTCATTTTATGTTTTTTATGGTAGTATCTATTTATATCTGAAATTCTAAAAATGCGAGCCATCAGGGATCCGGACCATGTAATATTCACTTTATTGAATGCCAAGGGCACAGCAGCAGCCAATTTGACTTGTTTGCAGTTACACAAACGAGCAGAAAAAGTGTCTAATTTACTGAATGAAAAAGCAAAAGTGAATACAGGCGATCATGTAGCATTAATTTTCCCACCTGGGATTGATCTCATATGTGCGTTTTATGGTTGTTTGTATATTGGTAAGTATTTTAAATTCTTATTTTATTTTTATAAAAAAATTTTAGTTAATTTATATTTTAAATTTTAAGGTGCTGTTCCTGTCACCATTCGTCCTCCACATCCACAAAATCTTCAGACTACTCTACCAACAGTTAGAATGATAGTGGATGTTAGCAAATCGACCTTAGTTTTATCTAACCAAAATGTTATCAAGCTTTTAAAGTCAAAAGAAGCTAGTAATGTGGTTGATGTGAAATCGTGGCCTACAATTTTGGACACTGACGATGTTCCTAAAAAGAAAATTGTACCTTCTTATCGCGCTCCCACAGCTGAACTCTTAGCGTATTTAGATTTCAGGTATATTTGTTTAGTAACACTGTATTCTGTACTTTTTTTTCATAAAAATTATTTTTATTATTTATTTATTACAGTGTTTCTACGACTGGGATGTTGGCCGGCATAAAAATGTCACACGCAGCGGTAACATCTTTATGTAGGTCCATGAAATTGGCATGTGAATTGTATCCATCTAGACACATTGCTTTATGCTTGGATCCTTACTGTGGTCTTGGATTTGCTTTGTGGTGCTTAAGCAGGTCAGTAATTTTTTTAAATTGATTAATATTTAATTTTTATTGTAATTTATATAGTAATATTAATTAATTATTTTAGTGTATATTCTGGTCATCATTCAATCCTTATCCCCCCATCCGAAATAGAAATTAATCCTGGACTTTGGCTGTCAGCTGTTAGTCAATATCAAGTTCGAGATACATTCTGTTCATATGGTAAATTGATTTGTTTACTTTATTGTTTAATGTCATTTATTAATTATTTCAAATAATTTTTGATATTTTACTACTTAATTAAGGTGTTATGGAGTTATGCACTAAAGGACTAGCATCATCTGTTGGGTTACTTAAACAACGTGGGGTGAATTTAGCTTGTGTACGAACATGTGTGGTTGTAGCTGAAGAAAGGCCAAGAATTAATTTAACAACTTCATTTTCCAAATTATTTTCTGCACTTGGCTTAAGTTCTCGAGCAGTATCAACCAGTTTTGGCTGTCGTGTAAATGTAGCCATATGTCTACAAGGAGCATCTAGTCCAGAACCATCTTGTGTATATGTTGACCTTCGAGCTCTCAGAAATGATCGAGTGTCTTTGGTTGAACGTGGTAGCCCTCATTCTTTGTGCTTACTCGAGTCTGGTAAACTCTTGCCAGGAGTCAAAGTCATCATTGCCCATCCAGACACTAAAGGTCATTGTGGCGACTCACATTTAGGAGAGATATGGGTACAAGCACCACATAATGCCAGCGGATACTTTAGCACTATAGGAAATGAAACTGCAGATGGTGGTATTAGTTCAGATCAGTTTAATGCTAGGTTAGTAACTGGTAGTACAGGTGAAGTTTATGCCAGAACTGGATACTTGGGTTTCTTACGACGTACCGAATCAGTGGCAACGCCTACAAGTGCTACTCAAAATTCAACAGATACCATTGACATTATGTCTCTTAGTGATTTATCTCTAGCTTCTTCAAATCAATCTACTCTAAGCAGTAATGCTCTTATTTCTACTGAGACACCAGGTATTTCAAAATAATAATTTTGTATTATTCTATTCTAATATTTTGTGTTTCCATAGAACTTCACGATACTGTTTTTGTGGTTGGAGCTTTAGATGAAACAATTATACTGCGTGGTATGCGTTATCATCCAATTGATATTGAAAATAGTGTCATGCGGTGTCATAGGAAAATTGCTGAATGGTAACATTATTTTTAAAATTTGTTAGAAATAAATTTTGACTCATATTTTTATTGTAGTGCTGTTTTTGCGTGGACCAATCTTCTAGTAGTTGTTGTTGAATTAGATGGAAATGAAAGTGAAGCACTTGATTTAATACCATTAGTAACTAATGTTGTACTTGAAGAACATCATTTAATTGTTGGAGTTGCTGTAGTAGTCGATCCTGGTGTTGTGCCTATTAATTCACGTGGTGAAAAACAGCGTATGCATCTTCGTGATGGGTTCTTAGCTGATCAACTTGATCCTATCTACGTTGCATATAACATGTGATTCAGAAAACATTCATCTAGTTTTATTTTTAGATAAATTTATAGTTGTGATACACAAGATAGTTGTTATAAAAAGTGTAATGGATATCATGTAGGTAACTTAAATTATAATCGAATTTAAAGAAGAAAAGAGAAACCAACCTTAGCTTTAATATTATAATGAAAACTTAATTTGTCTTTTGTGAGATAGTTAGTATTTATTATTATTATTATTTAATATTTATGTTAATTTTAAGTTGCCATAATAGTTCGTCTCGAGGTTGTGATAAATTCCCAGGCGACCATTTCCTCCTAATTATTGCTTCTCCTTCTTCAATCCTTTTTGACTATCATATGACCTAGTCGTATATTACTATACACATTTATTTATAAAGTTATATTATTAAAAATTAAAAAAAATTATTTGAAAAGACATTTTATAAATCATTAAATACTACATAGCTTCTCTTATTCTTTTATATTTATAAGTACATGCAAAACTATTTGTCTATATAGATTTATGTATAAATAATGTGCAATTGTAATTGATAAATTTTATTTTGGACATCTTGTAATGATAAGACATGCATGCAATTACCATTTAAGCAATGTCTTTCATTAAAATACCGATCATTCTAAAATATTTTTGTAAATAAAAATATATTTAGTGAATATACTTTATACATATATTCTATGTAAAAAAAATTTGTGTATGAAAAGTACACATTTATTTGTTTGTTTGTTTGTTTTTTTTTTTTTTTAATTAGGCATTTTTCATTGTACACAATAAGAAATAGATGCCAAAATGTTGTAGCGCTCATAATTTTTTATTACATTAATTATATTATGCATAAATATAGGTATATATTATATGTATAATACATTTTTGGTTGTACCTTGTGTTTTTGTGTGCATAAATGTGTTTGTGTGTGTTTTTTAATGTACAAATATATGAAAATTAAAAATAATTAAACTTCTCTAGTATTTTAATCATTTCTAGATTCAATTTTTAAGATTAAACTTTGAAAGTTTAAATTTGATAAATGATATAGACATAAAATATTTCTAAAATTAACCCCAAAATTATTTAAAAAAGTTATGGCAGTCTTAAGAAAAAAAACGGTAGCGCAATGGGGTCGCAGCACAGTATGGTAGTGACATAGTTGGGACAAGTATAGATGATATCTGACAGTGATTAAAATAACTATTGTAAGAAACCCCTTCGATGCAAATCTGTAGATAGTGTTTAATTTTAAAAAATTAAAGGATTATTTCAAAAGTAACAACAACTCTTAATTCCTTACTTATACCATGATTAATAATTATTTGATTTATAATTAAAGCATATGAATCAATGTTAATTATAGTTATTAAATTTAGATATTCAATAATTTAAATATTGTAGTTTTTATAGAGATATTATAAAGAATTGTAAAATAATACATTTTGTTACTTCTAATACAAACGTGTATAAAAAGTTAGAGGGCTTGATGCAAAACTTTTCTAGATCAATTTTTCGCGCTGATTTCAAATCTGCAAGTAGATTTTTTCTATCATCTCTATTTTTTGAGATTATTACTAATAAATAATGAGTATTAATATTAAAGAATTAATTAAAAACATATAATAAAATTTTTTTGCTATATTTATAAACGTTTTATACGTATTTTAAAAGTTTTGAATCTCCTGTATAAGAGGAAATGGCCCGATTTAAAAAAGAAGTATATAAGATGATTACATAAAGTATAAAAAATATATTGATCCATATATTTTTTAAAAAGATATAACAATTTACCGTTGAAAATATAAAAGAGAATATTGAAAATTTTAACACAAAAGTAGCATGTTTTTTTAAATGAGGCAGTCATTTGCACAAAGAAGATAAGTCGTCGACACAACTTTTTTAAACTTATATTACGTAACAGAAGCTTTAATTTAACATTTGTTTGAAACCCAAAGTTTTTCCGAAACATTTTCAAATCTAAAGCTGCAAAATTTAAATGTACATATAAAATTTACTATATTTAATCGCCCTTGTGGGCAGATTTTCATAAAAATATACCCAAAGAAAGAAAAATACTTAAGGTATCTATACAAAAAAAATATTTCGTGTCGTTCATTTTTAAAAAAGTTATGGAAATTAAAAAAGAAAAGTTTAAAAAATGTGGAACGTGGACATTTTTTCAATTTTTAAAGGCAATATTTTCAACTAGATACGATTTTTGATATTTTGACAAATCGTTGAAAAAAATCTGTCCGGTGAGATCTGAGAAAAAGTGTTGACAGACATAAAAAAAATATTTAAAAATTAATAAACACATCTACGTCTCAGCTTCGCATCGAAACTAAAATCAAGTGTAAAATTTTTAATTATTACAAATTATAATAATTATTAGTTAGAAGTGTGCCACATTTTAAATATATAAATTAAACTGTAAATAGAATAATTTTACAATTTTTTCGTTTTATAAATCGTTTTTATAAAAATGAAAGTAAATTGTAATTTTACAATGAATTTGCAAGTCTTGCCTATATATATTTTTAATATGAATTATGTATTTTATAAAATTTATTATATTTTTGAATAAATGTAAATGTTAGGATAGTGTGGATAAATAAAAATGTATTATATTTCAATTTTATATGTAATTAGTTTCGATAAATTCAATGAAATTATAACTTTTCTTATACGTATATAATGTATGTGTTTAAAATATATTAACATAAATAATGAATTAAAACTTGCCACAGATACACACCTTTTACGAGTGAGATAAAAGAATTTCTATAGTCATACTATGACTTTGTATTGTTATAAAATATGTCAGAATTTGTATACGTTATAAAAATTAATGCGCTAAATCATTTTATTTTGTTCCTCACCTATTTATGTTATTGTTATTACATTTATATTGCTTTTCTTTACTTTTCTTTATTTTTTTTAATGTCTTCTTTTTTTATGCATTACAATGGCTTCTTAAAATTAATAAATTTCTTCGACTTTGCAAATTTTGTGAATTTTTAGGGCTTCTTTATATTTTTATTTTTGCATTGCAATGACTACTTATAATTTATACATTTCTATGGCTTCCCAAATTTTGTGAATTTTTATAGCTTCTTTATGTTTTTATCTTTGCATTCCAATGGCTTCTGAAAATTTAACAATTTTTATGGCTTCTTTGTGTTTTATTCCTGCGTTCCTATGGCTTCTCAAATTTTTGTGAATTTTTATGGTTTCTTTATGTTTTTATTTTTTCATTTGTATGGCTTCCTAAATTTGTTAAATTTTACGAGTTTTTTTTGTAGAAACTGTTTCTTTTTAAATTAAGGATCGAAGGTCGTAAACGAATTAATTTTTTATAATAAACTTGAACAAAATTTACATTTTCTTTAAATTTTAGTGTTTTCACTTTTGTTTTTGCATTATTTATAAGTCTTATAAATAAAGGTGTACTTTTAGTCGATTTCATTAACCATTAATAATATTTGTTGTAATATTCTCTTCTATTGCTAAATAAAACGAATAAATTTCAGCTGCGCCTAACGAGGATGTACTGACGCCGCTGAGGGGCGTGTAATCTTTTAATTTTTGTTTACATAATCCTTATCGAATATGCAATAAATGAACTCATACAGTTTCACATAAGGATTAGCAATATACAACATATTACTCATCATATTAGCTTACATATCCTAAACAAACAATAATACAATACAAATCGCTCCTTGCACTACATTGTAAAAGACACCTTTTTTTTAATTAAATAACTTTTATTGTCACATAAAATACGATAATTTAATAATGATAATTTATATTAAATATATTTTATATACTTCAATTTGTTTACTTTAATTGAAAAAACTATCACTAAAATATTAAGATACGTATTATATAAAGCAAATTCATTAAATATTTTTGAAATTAATTGAAAGATAGTTATTATAATATATTGGCAGTTTAAACAATATCCATTTTTTGAAAAGTATATTTTTAAATTATTACTAATAAACAATTACTTTAGATGTTCTTTGCAATACATTTAATTAATATAATTTAAATTTATAATACATCAATTTTATCAATTATTTTAAGTACTTAAATATCCTACAATAGGTATGAATTTATAATAACTTTTTTACTTGATATACTGTAAATTTCCACAATATTAAATTTACATACTAACTTAAATTGTACAAACTGCTTGCTGAAATAATGCTATACGTGTAAGAATAATAAAAATAACCTAGAAAGTTGCAAACTTAAAGCTTTATTAAATTTTTTTAGATTTTTATGAAAGGATAATAAAAATTATAAGAATCAATTTCTAACTGCATACAATTCCTTTTAAAAAGTTTATTCTTTTAACAATAATAGCATCGGTGGATTAAAAAAAAATACAATAATTATTTAATTATTTTTACTGTTATACCATTTTATAATTACAGTTGGACATAAGGGTTTCGCCCAATTTGGGTATGAATCATTAACGACAAACTTCACTTTTTGAGGAAATCTATAATATCAATTGAATCCAATCATATCTTTCTAAAAAATAAAGATACTTTAAAATTTTAATTTTTAGCGTTTTTTTATAATTGCTTAAACTAATCAATATACATGTATAATCGTTTTCATACCAAAACCACGTATGTCGATTTTTAAAAATTATTCTCAAGGAAGCGAAAAATAACCTACTTTTTTCCTAAAAACGCTTAAAATACGTTTAAAGTTTAAATATATATATATTTGAAAAAAAAAATTTTAAAACGTCGATTACGCGATTTTACCATGGAGACAGTCATATTATAATGTGCTTACTCTTTTGAAAGTATAGCATTTTCCATCATATGAAATGATCCTATCAAGTTTCTTCTTATTTCCAAAAAATCGTACAACACCTTCTTTAATCGCACGCGTTTCCACGAAGGGTCCTTCAACAGCCGATACTTCACGTTCTGTCTTGCGATAATTTGTGCAATTTTCCTGGGGTATAATGACAGGAGAGCAAATACTTCGCACGTCTTCTTGCAACTCCTCACACTCCTCAGGAATTACACTAAGTACACTGCCTTCGTGACTCTCTTGTTTATTTGTCAACACATTTCCTACAGATGTTAATCCGAACTCTGCCGTGCTTTCAGTTGTCCAATTTTTCTCCGGTGCAATGTGAGTAGGGCATAGATAATACGCATCTTTTTGCAACTCCTCGGGAATCATGCGAAATACTTCTTTCGTCAATAACTTCTAATAAATAAGATTTCAAATTTTATTATAAGTATTGTTTGACATTAAGTCCAATATGATACTTTTTTGACTCTCTTTTAAAGTACACTTAATTTACAAATGATTGTTATTCACTCATTTAATATAATAAAATTTATTATATTAAAATTGATATATTATCTGTATAATATACAGATACAATATTATTTCATTAACTTATTTAATAAAAACGCTTTATAGGTACAAATTTAAAAATACATAACTAAAATAGTTACTGCAAGTTAATTTATTAAACTATTTCAATTCATAACAATAACAAATTTTCCAAGTCATTAAATATAAAAATTGATGGGTTTATTTAAATTTAGGATAAATTTAGGTGATGAAAAATAATGCTAATTATTAACAACGTTTAACTTTATATATATACAGCGTGATGTCTCATGTAATATCTTTAAAAATACAAGTTATAAATAATTTTTTTTTTTTTAAATCATTATGGATCATTATGAGCTGTTTCACATGAAAAATTAAATTTCTATCGTCACCCCTTATACTCAGAACTTGTATCAACTTCAGATTTTCAAATGGCAACCCCATATTGTTTTTATATATTTTTATTCGTCATAAAAAAAAAATGTTTGAAAACAACAAATAAAAAATTATGAATTTTAAACAAGATACGCTACTTTAAAATTTACGATATTTGATGAAAACATTCATTATTTTTTCCAACATGGTCACATTATTATTTTATGTAACGATAAGAGCTACCGGTTTACTGTGTCAACGCACGTAGTTAGAATAACTAAGGTAAGCTCGGTATGTTCAAAGTGTATAAAACTGGTATCACATATCGATGTACGGCCTATAACGTTCAAGTCTATTATATTTTTTTTCTTAATAAACCCTAAACTTTAGAGAGCCGTGGAGCGATTAATATTAAATAAAATAAAATATTTTTTTTACAAAACATGTTTTTTTTTATTAAACTAAATCTAATGGTGTAAAAAAAAAATAAGGTTGCCATTTGAAAATATGAAATCGATACTTGTATTTTAAGTATAAAGGATGGTGGTAGAAATTTAAATTTTCATGTTAAACAGCTCATAAAAGATCCATAATGATTACGAAAAAAAAATTGTTTATAACACTTGTATTTTTTTAAGTTATTATGAGAGACATAGTTAGCCGATCACTTTGTACATACAGAATCGAACGGATTTAATTGATAACTTATAATAGTTGTTGACGCTCAATACAATTTTCTTATGATATCAAGTATTAGTCCATATTATGTAGCAAGTACGAAAGTAAATACTTATAACGTTATTTACTGGTAATAGTACGCGACTTCTTTTCCATGAAAATTATTAACACTTAAATAAGCATTTGTAATTGACATGAAAAAACAAGTAGTAGTAATATTAAGTTTATTAAAAAAAAATTATAAAAACGTTATCTAAAAGAAGTTTAATTTAATAGGTTCATGTTTCATAAAATTGTATAAAAAATCAAATTTAACAAATATAAAAATTCTGTATAAACGTAACTACTGAATTAAAATAAGAGTTTTTAGTATCAAAATTTTTCTTTAAAACTTATCTATAAAATGATTATCTTCAAGTCTTGTAAAAAATTTAATGAAAAAATTAATTTTAAAATATTTTTTGTAATTGCGAAGAATAACATAAAACATATTTTAAATATAGTTGTATATTATAAAATATTATTAATATTATAATATAAAATGTATAGTAGATCATAAGTTATATGAGTTGTCAGTTAGATCTGCTACACTCTGTATATATATTAGGTGGTCCTTAATTTTGAACTTCAAAAATTTATAGTCAAGACCCTCCCATTTTGATTGGTTGACTTATAAAAGTGTGTGTATAAAATTTGAGTTTGCTAGACCTACCCTTTCCCGTCCCTCAAAGGGGTTGATTTTAAGTGGTTTAGGGCAGAAAAACAGTTTTTTTAACACAACTCGTTATGTTTATTTTGTTTTCATAGTGAAAATAGCTACCGTATTCAAAAATAAGTTATTTTTGTGTTAAAATTCTTGGTTTTGTATTTTATTTTATTATAAAGGGATTACACTGATTTCCATAAATATTATATCAATCTAATTGACATAGTATAAAAAGTTAAACATAATTAAATTTTTTTGTTTCTTTGAAGTCGAGAAAAATAACTGTAAAATTTAAACTAGCTAAATTTCCATTTTTATTTAGTGACGAATGCGACGTATGGTTTCTGAGATGGTAACACTTTGGTCTTTTACGCCTGTGACACTGAATTTTTTCTTAATTCTTTTTGAGTTAGAAAAAAATGTATAACTCATTTGATTTTTATCTCATTTAGATTCAATAACTTCAATAAATATCAAGGATCCCATTATTGTAATGTTCTCTCATGAGAAGGAATTTCCTATTAATATTATTTTACTATGTGGTTTTATTTTGTAGCTATCATTTATTTTCTCAGCTCTCACTTGACCTACTTTTTTGACAAACTTTTTTTTTAAATTAAACACTATCCACAGATTTGGATTGAAGCGTTTTTTATTATAGTAATTTTAATCACTGTCAGATATCATTTACACTGGACCTAACTATGCCACAACCACACTGTGCTGCCACCCCCCTGTTCTGGGTTTTTTTTTGTCTTGATATTTTAGTTACTAAATGGATGTAATTAAATTAAATAAATCAGAAACTCAAAAATAATATAAACTACAAACAACTGTACAAACAAAACGTAACTACGATATCTAGAGAATATAAATATAATGAAATAAATAAATATAAACCACTTCTATAAATAGAAATGATTATTTTAAACGGAAAAATAATAAGATACCATTATTGTAGACATAAACAGGTAGCCTAGTGTTATCTCATATAAATGGTAGTGACGAGTATATTGCGACATACGGGGACGCAATTGTATTTAAAAAAAAACATCAGAAAAATAACATTTACTTCTTACCTTTTTTTATCAATTATAGGCAAAACATTAAATATTACAATAAGTCTTATTAATACTTTTTTATTCTAAATGATATGTCCTACAAAAAATAATAAGAAACATTTTTGTATAAATATTAAATTTAACGAGTTATATTAAAAAAACTGAATATTTTGAGAATATCTATGAGATATGATATTTAGCGCTTTTTAACTATTTTTAAATATTATACAAGAAAATAAAATATTACAAAAAATATCATAAATACTTTATTTTAGTAAATAATGCGATCAACAAAATTATTATATTATATTTTTTACTTTTTAGTTTCATGTTATGATAGTAGTTACTATCAATATCATGGTTGTAACGGGTTGGGTTGCAACGTGGAGGTAGTGACGAAAAATGACGATACGGGAATCATCCCCCGTAATCGGAATGAATACACCACATATCTCTTAATGAGAATAAAGCGTATTAATATATAAGTTTTAATAGTAATTAGAATATATATATATATATGTAAAGCGACTTAAGTACGTAAACGTATCAATGATACAATGAATTGTACAAAATTTGGAGACGATTGGTCTACTCTAAGACGTGCCCCAAGGGGGTTAAAAATAACCCCCCAAGGGTGATTTTTTAGTTTTTTTATGTCTATCTCAAAAACTTTAGCTTTTGCGAAAAAGTTTATTTGGACTTATTTGTAGGTATATAATTTTTCTATAAAATGTATATATACAAAAATTTTCGAAAAGTTCTTATTTAGCTCTAAAAAAATAAAAACGTATGTGTTCTATTCTTGCCGTTAAAATTGTTAATTTATAAATCGTTCATTGTAAAAACATAAAAAAAATTCATTTAACCGTTGTTTTAAATTTAATTTTCTATGCATTTTTAATTCGACATTTTTTCTATTATTTATTATTAAAAACCTACAATTTTTTAAATTTTAATTAAAAAAAAATTCATCAGAGTAAAATTAATACCGTCTCAGTTTCACATTGAAGCTAAAATAATGTTAACTTACAAATTTATATACAACCAGAAACTATATATACTTGTAATAAAAATACATAATGAACGAATATTATTTAACTCTTTGATTGACAATTCAAATTGGCCCCGAAACAAAAAAAAATTTCAAACAATAAATGGCCTTGGCCATCCAACGAGCATGATGGATTGGGCCAGGAATTTTAAAATAAATTCTATGTAAAGGTGTTTCACCAAAAAATATTATGACCAATTCTAAAAGTTTCTTATAGTCATCTCGAGGTTAGTATTTTTGTAATTGTTCAAAACTAAATTTCAAAATATCGTCTTTTATGTTTTTAATTTTTCTAAAATAACAGTATCTTCTATTACACTTAAGTAATTTGTTTTATTTATATTTTGCCAAGACTTTTGGAATTTATTGAAAATAGGAACATCTGGTTCAGATGACGTATTAAATTTTACTTCAAAAACACTTTTCAATATAATTTCATAAATGTGATGTCTGCATGGTAAGTATAAAATAACACGCCCTAACATTTGCATGGAATTTATTTTAAAATTCCTGGCCCAATCCATCATGCTCGTTGGATGGCCAAGGCCATTTATTGTTTGAACATTTTTTTTTGTTTCGGAGCCAATTTGAATTGTTAATCAAAGAGTTAAATATTCGTTCATTATGTATTTTTATTACAAGTTTATATATTAAACAATGGTTTAGTGCACCAATGCTGCATTAGCGCCAAATTTAGATTTACAATTTATTAAAAATATAATTGATTATGAACCAATAGATAAAGATATTTCTTAAGTAGTATTAAAAAAAAATTTCGGGTCACTTATGGTACTTAGTATCCGAATCGGCAGCATTGGCATTTTATTATGATGATTTATGTGAAGACACTAAAATTAAAATGGTAAACTCATTAAATAATCGGGAAGAAGATCCATGTACAAACAAATGTATAGTAATAGAAGTAAATGAAATTTATGATTTTAAAAATAAAAGTATAGATGATTTTATTTCAACTGAGTCAAAAAAGTTGTTTGAAAGATATGACATTGAAACAGATTTTTTAAATATCAATCCTTTGTCGTGGAAAGACAACAGTCAATATATCAGAGGAAAAATAATAGTAAATATTTTAAAAATTATAAATGATTTGGCAGAGAGGGGCGTGAAACTCATAGAAGAGTATAATAATATTTTAACAAAAAACGAAGCACAAAAACAATACCTATTACAGATTGTTACAGAATACCGGCGTTGTTTTCCTAATTGCAATAAAAGCACATTATGCTAAGAATTTTAAAAAAGATAAATTATTTAAAATATGTAGTCAATTTTTTTTAGTACGCTTTTTTTTTGTAAATAGTTTCTGGTTGTATATAAATTTGTAAGTTAACATTATTTTAGCTTCAATGTGAAACTGAGACGGTATTAATTTTACTCTGATGAATTTTTTTAAATTAAAATTTTAAAAATTGTAGGTTTTTAATAATAAATAATAGAAAAAATGTCGAATTAAAAATGTATAGAAAATTAAATTTAAAACAACGGTTAAATGAATTTTTTTTATGTTTTTACAATGAACGATTTATAAATTAACAATTTTAACGTCAAGAATAGAACACATACGTTTTTATTTTTTTAGGGCTAAATAAGAACTTTTCGAAAATTTTTGTATATATACATTTTATAGAAAAATTATATACCTACAAATAAGTCCAAATAAACTTTTTCGCAAAAGCTAAAGTTTTTGAGATAGACATAAAAAACTAAAAAATCACCCTTGGGGGGTTATTTTTAACCCCCTTGGGGCACGTCTTAGAGTTGACCAATCGTCTCCAAATTTTGTACAATTTATTTTTTCATGTATTCGAATAATTCTAGGGGGTGGCACTTTATATTTTTTAAATTTTATAAATAAGGGACACCCTAATATATACGTACAATAAAATTATACAGGAAAATATTGTTAACAATGAGTGGTGAGCAGGGTAAGTTGAAGGAGTTATGACAGTCTAGTCTCAAGGCCATAGACGACTGGATACGCGAAAATAATAACACGTGAGCGTGGAGAGTTACAAACTTAATTACATACAAACTTAATTACATACAAACATATTTACATACAAACATACTTACATACAGGTGAAACTAATTTAAGCGTGTTAAAAACTGAATATTTTGTGAAAATCTATTTTTAAATTTATCGATTCAATTATAAGAAAAACATTAAATATTACAAAAAGTCTTATGAATACATTTTTATTCTAAATGATTCTACAAAAAATAATAAGAAACATTTTTGTATAAATATTAAATTTAACGAGTTATATTAAAAAAACTGAATATTTTGTGAAAATCTATGAGATATGATATTTAGCGCTTTTTAACTATTTTTAAATATTATACAAGAAAATAAAAAAAAATTACAGAAAATATCATAAACACTTTATTTTATAATAAAAATTGATCACTTGTGGCTAATTAATTAAGTAAAATTAAAATTCAATCCCTTTGAGGGACGGGAATAAGTGGGTCTAGCAAACTTAAAATTTATACACACACTTTTATAAGTCAACCAAACAAAATAATTACACATTATTCTTGAATTTTTAACTATGTAATACTTTTTAAGTTCATCCCTTATGCCTTGGAGGGGGGTCAACTTTGTTTTTTTAAATGGTAACACATATTTTTAATTTAATAAAATGTTTGAGTTTTTAATTCAATAGTAAATGGCATTTGAATTTTTTGCATAACTATATTTGTTTATTAGATATAAACATTTAAAGTTTCAAATTTTTGAGTTAATACACAAGGGATTACAAATACAGGTAGCTAATTGATTTTTTATGACATCGATATTAGCAGGTACACAGCATTGTTATTATCAATGATAGTAAGGTACATTGTTGTGAGTTTATAAATACACTAACTGACAATACAAAAAGTGTATCTATTGATAGTCATAATTGATAATAAACAATCCGTGACTGTGATAACAATATCATAAAAAACCAATTAGCTACCTGTATTTACAATCCCATGTGTATTATACATCTATATTAACTCAAAATTTTGAAACTTTAAATGTTTATATCTAATAAGCTAATAAAGTTATATTAAAATTCAAATGCCATTTACTAATAAATTAAAAACTCAAACATTTTATTAAATTAAAAATATGTGTTACCATCTAAAAAAACAAAGTTGACCCCCCTCCAAGGCATAAGGGATGAACTTAAAAAATATTACATAGTTAATAATTCATGAGTAATGTGTAACTAAACATAACAAAAAAAAAATAAAGTTTAAATTATATTTATTGTTTAAGTAATTGAGTGGGTTATGATAAAAAAATCACCCTTTATATATATTAATTTAACACTTTAACCATTATTTTTGTTGATTACAGTCACTAATACAGATTTGCAACCTTCAAATGCAATATTTTAATAGAATTTTATAAGACTAGATTTGAAATAAAGACAATAAATTAATTGAAACTTGATTATATTGATCTGACCAATGTTATTAATTATAATTAAAATAAAATATTTGTATTAACTTTTATTAATTTATAAATATTCAATTAAAAATTTAAATATGATAGTTTCATGAATATTGGAATCGCTAAATCTCGTATAACTTACAACATGTGAAACATTTATGAGTGCATTACCAGCTTTAAAAAGTGTTTTAGCTTATATCTTATTAAGTAATTTAACACACAGATTTTTCACATTTTTACTGATAACAAAAACTAAATCTCCAGGAATTTTAATACTCTAAATATACATAATATTAAAAATCAAAAATCTTTACTATAGAATATTTTGGAGGATTGTAGTTCTTAGAAAATTAATGGGATTAATTTAATTGAAAATTGAGATGTGATGACTTTGAATTATCGAATAATAATCAGGATTGAATCACCGAATTATATAAGCATTGCTCCCAGCAAACTAAAAATGTAGTGTATTTAGAGGAGTTTTTTTCATGGAGGTATAGTACATATAATATAAATTTATCACCTCTTCAAAATGCTTAAGCTTTCATAAAAATATGTAATAATTTAAGTTCCGAATAAATTTTTTCGTTAAATATATATAATTTCTAAACAGCAGTTGGAGCAATGTATCGTTTTACAAGGTCACTTTAGGTTGATGTTAACTGCCATTGATCAGTTGTTGGGTATAATGCTTAATATCAGCGGCTAGCTCCATGGTAACATTTTCATCTGCTATTGGTCTACTTATATTCATTCAGTTATCAGGTTTACTAGACTACCGGCTGTCGTCAGCCGATCATACCTACAAATAATTAACCACTACTATCTGTTACCAAAAGTTGAGCACGATCAATTTCAACCAACGCTGACAAATACACACCGGCTACCGGAGTCAGCGGCGAATTGTATAGTCTCATCAGTCTGACCAAAAAGCCAATATTAGCGGCTAATTCAATGTGCACTCTATTCCTATGTGACCTCTGCCTAAAAGATGGTACCATTATCACGGCTTAAACAATACATGTTGCTACTTTATTAAACGTTTTCAAGAAAAAAATTTTGTACCAGGATTTCATGAGGTACCGCCCAACTAGTTTACATTATCAATATTTTAGATCGGATCGAAATTATCTAACAAATATCAAAAATCAGTACCAGGGATTCATAAGAGTAATAAACGTTTATACGTTTAGGTGTCTTGAAATGGTGTCCAGTCTCTCGCCGACGAATTTTAAAGTGGCCATCAAGATAATTCAATGGCACGGTCCCAATAATGATGTTACTTGTTGGTCATCTCATGAGTTCCTGGTACAATTTTACTTTTATCCAAAATAAATGAACACCAAATTTTGTTTATACAACCTCAATATGGTGTCCAAATTGCCACAGATCGAACTTTGTAAGAATGACACAATTAGTTTATAGTTCTTTAAATGAAATTAAAAAAATGCGCAGCTGTCTATTTAAACCTAGCTAAAGCTAAAGCTATTTGACACTGTTGATCACAATATTTGATTACATAAATGTAACTCCAACATTTTTGTTGTCTTACTTAAATAACAAAAAATANGCAAGACTGACACAATTAGTTTATAGTTCTTTAAATGAAATTAAAAAAATGCGCAGCTGTCTATTTAAACCTAGCTAAAGCATTTGACACTGTTGATCACAATATTTGATTACATAAATGTAACTCCAACATTTTTGTTGTCTTACTTAAATAACAAAAAATAATATGTTAATTTAAATGAGTGCATTGTTTTTGCATTGTATTTGTGAAATTCTGTATATTGAGAGAATTTTTTTGTTTATCGTCTTAAGCTAAAATACTATACCACTTTTATTATGATNTTTGCATTGTATTTGTGAAATTCTGTATATTGAGAGAATTTTTTTGTTTATCGTCTTAAGCTAAAATACTATACCACTTTTATTATGATTATTTTTATTGGAAACACAACATGTCAAAAATCTCGCCGAAAAAAGCACTTTATCTTCATCCTTTTTGATATTGTAAATAATAAAATTAAAGTATCGAAATTTGTTTTCATGTACAATGTGATTGTCAATAATGGTAAATAAGTGCGAAACAATGATTTATTTTCATTAAAATTTAACAACAAACTGATTTATATTTGTCAATAAACATACTGTGTATTAATACTAGGTAACGTATGGCAACTTATATTTTACTAATGTTATATTTTGAAGACATTTAAGCAATTACATTAAATTAAGAGATCTACAAGTATAGAACTTTAAAAAACTTTATTCGTAATATAAATTTACAAAATTACATAAAATATGATTTTTCTAATCTTGAAAATTATTTAAATAATTTAAACAGTGTTATTATTAACTCGTTAATAGAAAATAACACACAAAAATGTAAAATTATGGGTAAAAATTATGTACATTTAACTTTTCATATGATATACCAGGTATATTATACCTATTTAATTTAATTTCTAAAATTTTATAAATTTGTATTTAAGACTTGCTACTAATGAATATCGTTGTATGTTTTCATATGAAACAATTTATCGAAAAATATGAGTACTAAAAAATAGACAAATAATCAAAACACTTAATTTTAGCCTCACTAGTTTCATTTAAATTGAAAATTTGTTAATCATTTTAATAACCAATGTTAACTTAAACGGATTAACATTTTAAAAGATAATACTATATAAGTCACTTTAATAGTCAGTTGCAAAATATTTTTTTGTAATTTCGACTTATTGTAGAGATTATTAAGTAACGCCTACACGCAGTGTCCTCATTATAATAAACCAATTAAAATAAAAAGCCTCAGCTGCCAAGATCACGCTAGGGATGGCTAGATTACCCCCTTCTGACTATAAAAAGCCATTTCCCCCGTCAAAACCAGTTCTTTTCGGTAATTTTGAAATACACAAAATCTACAACACTCTACTCAAGATTACACTCTCTGGGATTTTGTCGTTTTTTTAATTAATTTGAACTTTGAATATTTTTCAATTTAAAAACACTTAGCCTTTTTCCTTATTTTTTTTGGAATTCAGATATTTTTCTTTAAAGAATAAAATGACACTTAGAAATTTTAAAGTGATTTTGTTTCGGTGAATCTTATAATCTAAATTAATTTGTTTATTGAATTATAATATTTTATTTACTTATCTTTCGTTCGAAAAGGGTTATGTCTTTCTAAGAATATAAAACATAAATATCCCGTGTTATGGTAGTGACGACAATGAGAAGCCCAAAATAATGAGTATTCTGGCTCAGATGTTACTCAGATGGTGGTCAGAATGCTCTCACTTCACTCACTTGAGCAAACTCACTCACTCAATCGTTCTCAAATCACACTTTATTCTGAACTCACCAAAAATACGCGAAAGAAATGATTCGCTCCGTCCATATTGTAATTTTATAAGAAAAAGGGATGTTTATTTATTTCAGAGTATTTATTGGAAACTTCAAGGTGGGAAAATAATAACTTCACTGAAAACCTATAAGATTTAGAATTAAGTTTTATGAGTACATACTTTAGTAGGGACAAAGAAAAATTAAGTGGTTATCAATAACAAAAAGTTTACTAAAAAGCTTAGTAAAGTTTTGTAAGTTAATTTAATAAATCAATAATGTTTGTACGGAGTTAGTTGACAGAGTTAGATCATTGATACGTGTCATTATTGATATTAAGAGTGTGACAATTAATCACGATGAATTTTATTTTAATAAATAAAAATCATTTTATATGAATGCAATCTATATTGAAAATTAAGTTAAACTTATTTTGAATATTTCGCCAATGTCTCACTCTATCGTGATATAAAAAGAACAAAAAACTATCATTAAATTATTTGAATTTAAACGGATTTTTACTGATTTTTTAATGCTAAATTTTACATGTTACACTTTTTTCTCAATCTTCAAATTTTTATGGTGAAATTAAACAGATATATAAATAAAAAATAAGAACATTTTTTTTTTGAAATCAGGTCCCTCAACAGAAATAATACAACCAGAATACATGTATTTTTAAAAAATGTATAAACTTTGTAAGCCTCTAATCCCAAAAAAATTGTTTTAAATATTTGAAATTTACTTCTAGAAAACATAGATTATACATTATACAATACCACATTTTAAAATCACTATAAAGTAATAACTTTTCAATGATTATGTGGCTCAAGAACGTCAATTTTCACAAAAAAACGCCATTTTTAGAATTACATTAACGTTCAGAATTTCACATAAATTTTTTTTTTTTTTTATGTAAACTATAAGTTATAATAAGGTTAAGTCTAAAATTTGAATTCGATTAAGTCAATATTGAACAATCTGTCAGTTTTTTAACGTTCTAGCTATTTTTAACATTTATTACATTGAAATAGCCATAAAAATGGAAAGGTCATAAAAATAAAATCGTTTTAATATAATTATGACATAAAGAATAAACCCTGAAAATTTAAGAAAAAAATTAAGTGGTCGTGCAACCCACTTCTGAATGTTTTGGCATGGATTGACCTAACTGATAATACAGAAAGCATATCTATTGATAAAGTTATAATTAATAATAGACGCTCCGTGTCTGTAATAGCGACGTCATGAAAAGGCAATTAGCACCTGTATTTATATTCGCTTGTGTATTATACATTTACAATATGTACATAAGTATACGATATACGTATATTAACTGAAAAATTTGAAACTTTGAAGTTTTATAATTAATAAACGAATAAGGTTATTTTAAAAATTCAAATACCATTTACAATTAAGATAAAAACTCAAACATTGTATTAAATTCAAAATATGTGTTCCCATTTGACAAAACTAAGTTTACACCTTTACAAGGCATTATGGATGATTTTAACAAATATTACATATCTAATAATTCAAGAATATTCGTTATGATGTACTTATGATAAGTTACGGATGTAACTTAAGGTAACCATAAAAAAATAAAAAACCCAGCACAGTGGTGATGTAGCATAGTTGGATCAAGTATAATGATATCTGACAGTGATTAAAATCACTATAAAAAAAAAAAAAAACGCTTCGATGCAAATCTGTAGATAGTGTTTAATTTTAAAAAATTGGTGGATTATTCCAAAAGCTACATAATTTGCTAGTTCCTTATTAATATCCTGATTAAGATAAAATCGAAAATTTTCACACAGAAATAGCATTCGGTAGCCATTTTCACCATGAAGATAAAATAAAATCCGAAATTGTTTTCATTAACTTTAACTTTAATTTAAGATATATATTAAAGTGTCAAACTTTCCGGAACATTTTCAAAAGTCAAGTTGAAAATATTAATTTTTTGTGAAAAAGTTGCTATGTTGGGAGGGATTTACCTCCCAATTAGCAGGTTAAGTGTTAGATTATTAAAAAAATGATATCAAATGAAAGGGAAATATCTAAGGTTTTAGTATAAAAAAAATTATATTGATTTGGTTATTTTTAAAAAAGTTATAGCAATTTTAAGTAAAAAAAATTGAAAAAATTTCGAAAATTAGCGATTTTTTAATTTATAATTTTTTTGGAAGTTTCCTTCATTTACGGGGAACGAGGAAAATTTTTTCAATTTTTGAGGGTAATGTCTTCGACTAGATAGGATTTGTGATTTTTTGACGTATCGTTGAAAGAAATCGGTTCGGCGAGAGCTGAGAAAAAGTGGTAACAGTCACAAAATAAAAAAACACATTATAGTAAAACTAATACCTTCTCAGCTTCACATCGAAGCTAAAAAATGATTAAATTATTTTTATTTTGTAAATAATTGAGTGGGTTATGATAAAATAATCACTGATAATAATCACTTAGTATATCACAATATTATATTTTTAATGTTATAAAAAGTGTTTAAAATCAATGTAGAATTTTAATATGTTTTAATGAAAATACATTTTTATTATTAATAATAAGCTGAATCAATATATCAGACACGTGTAATTCAAAATAATAACTGGTTGACGTAATTAGTTATGATTACGCCAGAAAGCTATGAATTTTTGGAATAGTTTATCTCAATACATATTTTTTGTTTCATTGTATACATTGTGATTCATATAGCATTAATCACTTGAATTCTTTAAAAAAAAAATAATTATGTTATAAAAATTATTTTTGGTACTTTTTTAGTTATATACATTGCTCAATTAGTTGACGTACACAAATTAATTAGCACTTTAACGTCGAGCTAATCGTTTTGATTTTTCCCGAGTGCTCCCGTTGGGCACACTTGTCAGCCTCAAACCCTCTTGTTAGTGAACCACTAAAGGGGTAAACGACTTTAGACCCGTCAGCACGGTCTAGCTCAATTGTAGCAGACTAAAGATTGGCCCCTCGTAAGCCACTATCACCACTATCTTTTTACTACACCCACTAAAAGACGGTTAAGCCCAAAAACTAGCCTGCCCGCACATAC